TTGTTTATTTTCACAAAGAGTTGCTCATTCCTTTCCAGATAACAACTTGAATAATTAGTGGGACAGATAATACCATTGTGTTGAAATCACAGTTTGCAAAGTGCTAACTCTGTTGATTCCCACAGCCAGCTTTCTTTGAGACAAACAAGACACAGACACAGATGAGGACATACTTCTGCCTGCATTCCACCATGAACATGGACTTCTGAAAATAAGGCCCTCGCTAGTGTACTGGTGAGGCAAAGACAATTATGAAACAGAAATAAAATAATATTTCACATGTATTTTCTTCACCTAGCGTAATTTTTAAACACCCATCGTCCTTCATTCCTTTTGAGAAATGATCAAGAGAGGAATGATCTCTTGCAACTTTAATAAACATATTTGGTCAACAAGTTCAAGTTCATTGTCTTTGTTCACAGTCACTTGTATGCTGCAGCTAACAGAGTGAGCATGTCTGTTCTGACCACACTCTGAATGTCTAACACACACAACTGTGCGTGGTTTCCCTCCAGCTGCTGCCTGTAGCCTGTGCTGTGTGGTTTCATTAATTTAAGAACAAGGCTTTGGGAGTCTCATTTCATGTTAAAAAAGATTATTTCTCATCTATTTCCATAGTGCATAGCCTCAAGTGTAAATCTATATTTTCTTCTTATTGAAACCTGGTATAGAATCCTGGAGGTAATTCTAACCCGGATCCCCAGGACACCTACCCAGCATCCCTGAGGTTGCTACCTACCTTCTATAAGAAAACCTGAAAGCAAGGGCAATCTTTTTTCTTCTTTTTTTCCCAGACAGGGTTTCTCTGTATTATTTTGGAGGCTGTCCTGGAACTTGCTCTGTAGACCAGGCTGGCCTTGAATTCACAGAGATCCACCTGCCTCTGCCTCCTGATTGCTGGGATTGAAGGCGTGTGCTACCAGCGCCGGGCACAAGGGCAGTCTTAACCATCATGTCTTCATGGTGTCTCTTCCTATTGCACTTGGCTGCTCTGTTCTCCCATATCCCTTGCTATCTCACTCTGTCTGAGGCTAGCATGTACTCTGGTTCAAACGCTTCCTCTCTCTCTGCTCTGCAGGTTGTCTATCAGCTAACTTCATCCCTGGGGGAGAAACCAAAGACTTGTTAATGGTGTAGCAGATAGACATTATGCATCAGTCAATGGCAGTTTCCTATTAGTTTGGTGTGTGTGTGTGTGTGTGTGTGTGTGTGTGTGTGTGTGTGTGTGTGTGTATCAGAGGATGTCAGAGAATCTGAGATCTTGGAAATCAGTCAGACTCATCTTCACTAAAGGTCTCTTCATTTTACTCTTTCTCAGACTTTTCCCATTGCAAAGAAGGGAATACATTACAGTTGCATCTCTAGGCTTTGCATAGAAGAGAGACAGGGAAAGGGCACTTTCTGCACTTCCACACACCTAACTTTGTGTGGGTAACTCATCCTGTGTGTCTGGATGGGCAAGTAGGGCACAGCTAGTGTGGGTGTGCGCTGAGGCTGCAGGCAGCAGGACACACCTAGGTACTTTGATCAGCATGGGTTAGGTCTTCCAGAGTGCTTGGTCACTCTGCAGCTGAGCCTGTTATACCAGTTACGTTTTCCAGGGCCCTTCTCAGTACCACGAGTCCAGGGTTTGTTGGTTAATGAGCTACTATAACTGGGAGTTGGAGAAAGTTAGGCAGACTTAGAGAAGGAGTGGTGCCCATGCAAATCACTGGAGAAACGTTTGAAAGCATCCTGCTGCCACCTGTGACTCTGCAGGTTTTATCTGTGTCTTGTGAGTCCCTGTCTGCCTTGGCTCTTTCTTAACAGAACCAGAGAGCACTGTCTACCTTGAGGATTGTTGCTAGATGCCCATAGCCAGGTGGGGAATCTTTGAGGTAACGAGCAAGGAAGCTTCCTTATGCACTTTTTAATTGAAGATAGGGACACAGATGAAAATATATTCTTCCCCTAGATCCAAGTTATCTAATAGGCAGGAACACTTTCCAACAGCTCTTCCCATCATTCCCAAAGCAGTTAACCGCACAGAACTTGTCTTGGAATCTCACAAGAACTGTATTTGAGCAGACATCTGGTAGTGATTTATTGGCACTTAGAAACATTCAAAAAATATCAAGATATAGTTCTAGGAAGCAACACCAAATCTACCTCCCTCCACACCTTCTTCCAAGTCTCAACCTCCCAATGACTTCATGGGCTGCTGAACCGCATACACAGTGATGACATGCAGAACTCACCTTGGTTACCTGGATCTTCCACCAAGGAAATACTCAGCTTGCTTGAGATCAAGCCTGACTGCCCGTGGCCGGGGGAATTTCCTACTCTACTAAGATGAACTCTGTCTGGAAGATAATAAATGTTCTGTGGGAGTGGGCGCTCCAGCGGCCCCTCCCATCATCTCACTGCTCTGTCCTGGCCAGCAGCCAGGCAGGGAGGAGAGACACTCACCTGCAAAGTATTTCTCTTAGAACTTGGCTTCAACTTGTCAGAGTTCCTTGGGATGGCACTTCTTGGATTTCAGCCCCATGAATAGTGAGGATGAAAAGCTAAGGCCTCCGCAGAGACTGGTGGTAACTCATTTTGCTAATGGAAAGCTGAAGAATGAGACAGGAAGCTTTGGTTTGGAGAATTGTTTGGGCGCTGAGAAGCCTTCTAAAGGTGAGTAGGCAGCATATCTGGGGCTGCCGGGAAGTGTGGGTGCGGCCACTATTTTTTTTCCCTAGTGAGTGGGAGTTTAGAGGCAACTCCTTCTAAAGCTGGCATTGTCCTGGACCAGAAACAGGCATGAATTGGGGCTAAAGATAGGACATGGAAATGTGTGAATGCATGTGTGCACATGTGTATCATGTGTATGTGTGGGTATGAACAAATGCTACCTTTCTGCCTCTAAGCTCAGAACTGGGTGTCCCTTATTAAAACTTCTTTGTAAGGAGAGGTTGCAAGGGCTTTGGAGCTTGTTCTACAAAGTGGCATGACACGAGTTCTTTGTGAGTTTTCCAACACTTTAAAAAGGACCATCATCCTCGTTTCTTTTCTCTCTACCAAAATCTGACCCCAGAGTCCTAAATTATAAAAGAAATCAAAGCAAAGACGCTCTGTGGTTGGTATGTGTGATGGCTCAGAGACCTGGACCCTCGTGTGACCCTTCTCCCTGTGAGCAGAAAGGCTTCACAGGTTCATGGAGGCATCTAGCGCCCAAGAACAACAGCTTACAAACTGGATGGACTGGTCGAGTTGTCAAGTTGGATAGACTTGCATTTAGATCCTGAGCCGGCTGCTGTGGGAAGCAAGACGTCAAGACATTCACTCAAGTATTTGCTCCTCATTTTCCCATCTGGTAAACAGAAATAATAGCACTTCTGAGGCAGGGCACCCACAGAGATAGGAGAAAACAGGCAGAGGACACACAGGTCTGAGACAAGAGTCTTCACACAGCGTATGTGACTGTAGTTATCACAGGAAACTTGGGTGTTGGGATACCTATAAGAGAAGTGATGCAAGGAGATGTCTCTGCTCAAAACTCACTTGAGTAGCAGCTGAGTGCTTTGTTCATTTTCTCCCCTTTAAAAACAACAATGTGTTGCTGGGTGGTGGTGGTGCTCGCCTTAGTACCAGCACTCAGCGGCAGGCAGAGGCAGACAGGTCTCTGTGAGTTTGAGGCCAGCCTGGTCCTACACAGTGAATTCCAGAAGAGTCAGGGCTGTTCCACAGAGAAACCCTGTCTTGAAACCACCTCCTGGAGAAAAAGAATGTGGGGGCTGGAGAGACAGCTCAGCAGTTAAGCACATTTTTTTCTTGCAGAATGCTCTGCACCCATTTGGTAGAATTCCAGTGCCAGGGCATTACAGCATCCTTTTCTGGTCTCCATGGATACCAGACAAACTGGCAGTGAAAGCAAAGCATGCATCCAAACAAACAAACAAATAAATAAGTAAATAAGAATTAATCTTTATTTTTAAAAAAACCCACATGTATGGCTATAGTAAATAGGCAATCCACAGAAATGAAGGATATTTGTAAGTCTTGTTCTGATAAGGTCTGGAGTACACAGAATTCATAATTAACTACAACTCAACAGCACAAAAGCAAAATAAGCAAAGGGCTTGAAAAGTCATTTCTGCAAAGAAAACATACTGATGGCCAGCAGTCCATAACACAGACACTGAGGAAATACAAATCAACGGGGTGATGAACCATCGCTTCTCCACTGCAACGATAGTAGAGATAGCAACCATGTAAATGAGCAGGTGTGTATTTAAAACCTGGCACCGTCATACACCGATGCTGAGACTGCGTCCACCTCTGTGGAAAACAGATTGACCATTTATTAATGTTAAACATAGCATTACCCTACAACTCAGCAGTTCCATTCCAGGGATGCCCAAAAGAATTGAAGATAGAAGCCAGGCAGTGGGAGCACACACCTTTTATCCCAGCATTTGGGAGGCAGAGACAGGAGACAGGCAGTTCTCTATGAGCTTGAGGCCAGTCTGGTCTACAGAGCGAGTTCCAGGACAGGTTCCAAAGCCACAACGAAGCCCAATCTCAAAACACACAAAAAAAGAAAAAAGAAAAAGAATTGAAGATAAGAATTCAAGCACAAATGCACAGAGAGATGACTCAGTAGTTAAGAGCACCAGCTTCTCTCCCAAAGGATCTGGGTTTAATTCCCAGCAGCAACATGTGGCTCACAACTGTGTATAATGTTAGCGTCCAGGAGGAGTCCCCAAAAGACCACCAGTCATGATGCAATCAGCATGAGCATTTTTTATACCATACACACGTGGTGTGGCACACCTATACAAAATGGTAACAGGAACTTAAAAAGCAGTGTGATCAATCTACTAATGATTGGCTTATGCAAGTAGCAATCATATTAGTATATTCTAACTGGCAAGTCTGGACAAGTCCCAGGCCTTGTCCTTATTTGGTTATTACCGTGTGTGTGTGTGTGTGTGTGTGTGTGTGTGTGTGTGTGTGTATTGGGGGAGAGGGATTGGCCCAGGCTTGTGTGCCTCATCCAGTGTCAGGGACACTGGTGATTGGTTGCCCTATGTTTATGAACTGAGACCTAGTTCTTAACCAAGTTACAAGAGGCCTGTCCTGATATTTGCCTGGCCCTCTCACATAACTCCAGCTCAGGGGATCAGATTCCCTCTTCTGACTTCTAAGGAAGCCAGGCACATGCATATGGTAATAGACATACATGTGGGCAAAGCTCTCACATGTAAAATAAAATAACTTTTTAAAAGTTTCACACAAGTGCTCATAAGTGTGTTCACAGCACCAAACCAACCTGAATATTCACTGACTGCTACAAATATATATGCATATATATATATATATATATATATATATATATATATCAGGGAGTGATGCATGGGTGACACTCTGAATCATCAGTGACCTTGAAGACATGGTGCTATGTGGATTAAGACAGGAAACAACACATACCTCGCATGAGTCCATGTCGATGAAATGTCCAGCACAGACAAACAGATATAGAGAGCAGATGGGTCCTGGCTAGAGACTAGAAGGCAGAGGGTTCTGGCTAGGGACTAGAAGGCAGTGAGGTAATGGTGAGTGACTGACTGTGCACAGTTTTCTTGTGGAGTATTGAAATCATCCTGGAAAAAGACAGCATTGATGGTTTATGATCTTATAGACACATTTGATGATACCACTAAGCTACACACTGAAATTGACTCAAATATGTTTCATGTATATTTTATATAATAAAAATGGAAAGTATCAATTCACTAAGATGGAGCCTGTGATTTTAGTTTCATTTGTTTGTTTATTTTTGAAAGTCTTATAGAATAGTCTAGGCTGGCTTCAAACTCAAGAACCTCCTTTCTGTGACGTTAATGAAGTTTGTTTGTTTTAATTTGGGACAAGGTCTTACTGTGTAGCCCGGAATGACCTGGACCTTGTTCTATAGACAAGCCTGGAGTTGAACTGAGATCTGCCTGCTTCTGTCTTCCAAGAGCTGAAATTAAAGGTGTGTGCCATTGCATCTGGTTATAATTAATACCTAGTGTGTATTTTTTTTAAGTGACTGGAAGCTTTGCTTGTCCTTTCCCTTTGATCTTTTTGTAGGGTCATGAGAAGTCAGGACATTTGTACCAAGTAGCACACTAACTCCTGTAAAACTTAAACAACTGAACGCAAGAGTTGCTCTTTTTCCTCATGAATGCCTTTAAAGGGAGCTATCCTATGAGCCCAGTCAAGGACCTCTTGGGGCCCGACTGTGCCCTCAGGCTTCTTTATTTTGACCTACCTACTCTTGACTTAAGGGTTCTGGACACTTTACAAGTCCAAGCTTGCCCTGTTTGGATCTTAAGCCTGGAACCTTTTCCCTGCTCCTCTTCTTAGAGGAGAGTTACCTGGAACTGATCTCATGGATACTTGGGATTTTGAATGTGGCCCGGCTCTGGGGAAGGCTTAGGATCCTGTGGACTGTGCTGAGTCCAGGCAGTAACCCCCACAGCCACCTTTGCTGTTGCTGTTATTATTAATTGGTGGCCAATCTTTGTACCCTCTGCACAGCTTTCATATGGGAACTTGAAGAGTTCTTGATCTCCATTTCAGGCCATCACTTCCCTTTTGGCAATGATTGCAACCCAAACCAGGAAAGAGAAGCTGAATTTGGGGAAACAAACATCTGTTTTCAGGTAAGAGAACACCGACAGCCCTTGGGGAAAGAGAGGCTTGTCACTCACCTGGTTGACCTCACCTCTGCCTGACCCAGTTAAACACAGGTGTCTACCCTCAGCCCCAGACTACCTCTTGGCTCCCAGGCCCTTCTCTTAGGAAAACAGTTGGTTCTATTTCTTTCTTCCCACTCTATCACTGAACAGCCTAAATTTAGTTCATCACTCTGCTTCCACATGTAGCACAGATTTCCAATGAGCCATCAGAGGCAGAAGTAACTGAGTGAGAGACAGGGGAGAAGGATGGGGTGGCATGTCAGAGCCAGAAAAGGAGGATGATCTGTTCTATTCGGTGATGGGCTTATGATGACTCCAGACTCCCTTGGGTCACATAGCAGCCTCTCATACCACAGAAGGCTCTGGGTCTAGCAGAGGAGTTTCAGAGCTGTCTGCCACGAGGGAGCCAATCCATCCCCTTCCTTTCCTACGTCCATGCTGCAGCGGGGTTTGTTGGCACAATGCACAGCACTTGTTAACCACTCCAGGAAAAGAAAAGGCCACTCACTCTGATTAGCTGTCAAAAGTAATTTGAAGCCATGTTATTATATGGTAAAGAGAAGAACAGAAATCTACGGAAACTGTACTTAAGGCCAGTGCCTAATCAGATTTCTTTCCCCTTCATCTGTTCCATACAAAAGCTGCCTAGGATTACTGGTGTGAGCCATTTCATTCCCCTCCTCAAGTGTTAATTAAATGTGATATTTTAAAATATACACCCCTCTCTCCAGGTAGAACAGACTGAGACCTTTGTAAGTTGCTGAATGCCCAATGACTCCACACACAGCTCTGCCCTGTTCCCCTATGGACCACAGCTCCAGCAGCAATAAGTATATAGTAATTATTTCCACCACAAATATTCCCACTAAAAACAGTTTGCCTTGTTTTGGTGTATATCCATGCATTCTTGAATGAAGGGCACATTATATTGGTGCTCTTTGTTTTGTGGTTAATACCCCGGGTTCTCCAAGATGTCATTGGCAAGCATGATACTATTCGCTTTTGTTCCCTTTGAAAGTATTTTCTGCTCAAGCCCTTTTACTTATATAGAACGCTGAGCATCTCACTGTAGAGAACAAATGTTGTAAGACAGAAGACTGAACGAACTCAGCCAGTGTGCTTCAGTTAGGCCAGAATTACTAAGGGCTTGGCCTGGCACTCTTCATCATCCTGAGCACCTGGACACTTTTGGAAGACTACTCAGATAGCAGACACACACTGGTAAGTCAGGAGCAGAGGGATATAATTAGTGGTTCATAAATAATTTCTGAGTGCCTGTTATGTGTTCAGTGGCAAGTTGGTGACAATTCAATCCAAGTATGCTCTTACTACAGTGAACTCCAGCAGGTAAACAACTAGGCCTCCAAAACATGATCTGGAAATTTAATTCCATTGGAAAACCATAATACAATTTATCTGTTGGTGGAGAGTAATAGAAATCACCCCCTTAAATCGCAGAGAATTTGTACTAAAAAAACGTCCTGCCCCCCCCCCGTGAGTCTGTGAAAGCATAGCTTGTATCACTTATTACATATATGATTTTGCCTTTTCATACATATTTTTGCCTTTCTCTTGAAGGAAGCACTTGAAGGCCAGATATAATGGTATATAGTCCATAGTCCCATCACAAGCGACACAGTGAGAATTCAGGGTTAGCCTGGGCTACATAGTGAGAAGGCACCTAAATAAATAAATTAAAATACCTTACAGCAGCCTCCAAAACAATACAGAGAAACCCTGTCTCGTAAAACCAAAAATAAATAAAAAAATACCTTACAGCTTCTTCTTGGTGTATCTGAACGTCAACAGCCCTGCTCTCATGCTCTCTGGAGCATCATCAATAAATGTAAGAATTATTTGACACGAGCACTTTTATATTTCAGCAAGTGATCTGACAACTAAGATGGCTACTCAGTACCTCATGGATGGATAGCACACACAGCGTGGATCTATGTCTCCAGTAGGTCAGAATAGGACAGCATATGTTTTCATCATGTTACTTTTCACCATGGCTAACTGGAGGTGTAGAAAGTGAAACTTTGGGTAAGGGGAATGTATGGTAATACTTAAAAAAAGTAATATGTATAGCAGAACATGGTAGTCTATGTGTGTACTCCCAGAACACATTAAAACAGGAAAATCTTGAGTTCTAGGACAACTAGGACTACACAGAATTCAAGGCCAGCCTTGGATACATTTACTTAGAATTAACTTCCTCTTAAAGGAAAGAAAAATCAGAATTAAGTTTTATATATATCTTCTGGTAGATGTTATTCTGAGACAGAGAAATGTTAAATGTCTCCAGCTCTTTTGATGTTGTTTATGTGTCACATAGACTTATGGCTGTCTTCAGCTTTGGTTCCTTCATAGGAGTCTCTTACATGAGCTTTCCAGGTAGGTTGTATGTGTGGTTTTAACTTGCCCAGAAATAGCAAACAGAGGGTTTGGATTTTGAGAGGTTTACATCTATACTGACATGAAGATTTGGAATAGAAGATATTTATAGAATACCTAGAATGTAGAATCAATGTGTTAAGGATGAATTACGAATTACAGAATTGAAGTTTAGAAAATGGTCAAGTTGTACTAGCTCCAAGAAAGACCACAGTCAGAGATACAGAACATAAAAGGGTTAGATAATACTCCTGAGGTCCAAACTTTGGACAAGTGTCTTGAATACCTACCTCGAGTACGAGAAGAACTGATCTGGTGAGATGGCTCTGTTGGAAGGGTGTTTGCCAGGCAAACCTGATGATTGAAGTTTAACCCAGGATCCCACAGTGGGAGGGAAGTAACTTGTGACAGCTTGTCCTCTGACCTCCATATGTGGGTTATAGCACTCATGTGCTCTTACTCACAGAAGCACAATAAAGTAGTGATGATAATAATAATACTTCTTAAAATTACCACTCAAGTAGAGTTAGCTTAGCATCCAAAAGCATGCCTATGAGTCACTGGTGTGGCAACCCGAGTAGAGAAGAATCTGACCTTTGCCACAGATCACATTTTATGTAGATCCTGGCCACTTGCAATGGAAGGTAGACACAAGCTCCCCTGGGGGTCTTTTGTCATGGAGAGCCTGAATTTCAGAGTTTTTGGGTTTTGTTTGTTTGTTTGTTTTTACGAGACAGGGTTTCTCTGTTTATTTTTTGTTTGTTTGTTTTTAACGAGACAGGGTTTCTCTGTATTGTTTTGGAGGCTGTCGGTCCAGCCCAGCCTGGAACTCACAGAGATCAGCCAGCCTCGAATTTCAGAGTTTTAAGGCCCAGACTAAATAAACTAAACTTGAAGACCAGATTGCATTTTGTTCCCCCAAAGATGTCAGCCATGTCCAGGAACACCTGTGGCTCTTAACCAAGTACACAGAGATTATTCAGACATCACAGAGCATTCTTGGGCCCAGCGGAATGCTTGCCACAGGAAGGCAGGTGATGGCAGGGCCGTGGGGAACCGGAGTCTCTGAAATCTCAGCATTTGGTTTCCTAAGGAACCCTCTGTGAAACTGTAAGGTGGAAAGGGAAGAAGACCCCAGACACAGTTTTACTGAAATGATATGGTAAAGACAAAAACAAACAAACAACAAACAGCAGTGGGGAGAGGCTGTGCATCCTTCTCTTGTGGAGGCCGGCAAGAGAATGAAGAAGAGTCCCGTTCCCCTGGGGGTTTCACCTCTTGCTTTCCTACCTTTCCTGGTCCCTTGCTGCTGCCAATTATCAAAAGCAGATTTTGCTCAACAACAATAACAACAACAAATTCTTATCCATGAGTATCTGCAATAGTAGTCCAGTTAAACAGACTCTCTCCAAACTGTCAGCTAGGATTCCCATATTAACAGAAATAATGGACTGTTTTGTTTTCATTAGAAACGTTCAAAATAGTCACACGAACGCTCTCCCCTGAGACATACTGGGCGCAGATTGAAATTTTCTTTCATTAGATTTGGAAAAGTTGGGGAAATTTGAATCTTGGGATTAAGTGAAGATGAATAATATAAAATTGAACTGAGACAGCCTGATGTTCCCATCAGGGGACACATCCATCTCATTGGCTCACCCTGTGTTTGAGGCCTCGGCAGAACTTCCCCTTGGCTGGAGGCCATTATGTGGAGGAGCAAGACTTGACACCACACACTTTAATATACACACAGGTCACTTTGGATCTGGTTCTGATGTATTCCTGAGTTCTAAATCATTAACCTACCCCCACATAATGTCAGCATTCCTAAATGTTGCTTGGAGTAACAAAGGTATGGTAGGTTTACCCCTTTTCAAATGAACCAACAAATATGGGTCCTAATCCAATTACATAGCAAGAGATTGCATTTTCTCTAAAAATATTATTTTTAAGGTTTAGTGAGACAATTGGCCTAACAATACATATCTCTGTATTAGCTGGTAATTTGAAGGCTTTCAAAGCGGCAGAAGTTGGGCTGTAGAAACCCTTGCTCTCTGCAAAACATGTATTGGGCGTCTGGTCTCCTGCGGGCTTTTCTAAGCAGAACTGAGAAGGGGAAGATATGGAGAACTCAGTTTCCTAGTGATGAACAGTTTTTCATGGATGCTCTCTTGGGTCTAAGGGGAGGGGTTAACAAAGATTAAAGCCACTTGTGGTTTTGTCATCAAGACCTCTATCCCTTCCCTGGAAAGTGAGACAGCGAGTTCACTCCTGAAGGAAGCCAAGAACACATATTTCTCTCTTGACTCTGTTTCTTTCTGGAAGAAAGATGTGCTTTAACTAAGAAATTATAATCAGTGCCTTCACAATACATGGAGACTTTCTCCCCTATGATTAAAGGAAGTACTCGTGGAAAAGGACCCAGCCATCTGCAGACCATCGCTATCAAGATGGCAGGAGTTCCCATGACAGCTTCTTGTTGAAAAGGACCTTTCAAGTCACAGGCTGCTTGTGCTCAACTGATAAAAGTATGTCTTGTAATCCATCCGGATGAACAATGCTGGCCCAAGTCTTCGATGGTTGGAGTTCATTGGAGTAGCATACAAATGTCGTGAGGACTTCTGAGGTAAAGGCAAAGAAAACCATACTCCTTGCAAAAATCACCAAGCTGGGAGTTCACATTAGGCCCCTCTACTGTTCTAGAAGGTTTTTCTGAATAATCCTTTTTACTTTGGTTTCCTGCCAGGAATGGATGCAGATGCATCAACTACCTCAGGAAAACCTGTTCTCACAAGTTTTATTGTACCACTTGGTAGACAAACAAACAAACAAACAAAAAATGCGCTGGTAGAGGCTGAGAACGTTCACATACATCCAGAGAGCTTGGGAACTGAGCCATCTTGACTCAACACTCACCAGCCACGGGAAATTCAGCTACTCCTGCAAGTCAGGATCTGGGATTCCTGAGCTAATCAGAGGAGGGAGGGAAATGCTACAGTGTCCAGCTGCTCTATGGAGGAAGTGACATAGGATTTCAGGTAGTGAGGGGCATCAAAGACCAGGTACTCTGGTTCCCTAACCTCCTATCATCTTTGCTCAGCTCCTGGCCAAGGGTGAGTTCTCTGAGAAGCACACACCCTTAGGGAAAAGCCGAAACAGAACCAGGAAGGATGGGAATTGGTGAAGAAAGGGCGGTGAGGAGAGCAGTTGTTTTTGTTGGGCCATTCTGTGTGTTTGGGAGTCCATGAGAAATATGAGAAAGGCTCATTCTAAAAAGTAAACAGTGGAGACACTGAGACATGTAACGGGGATCTGCTGAGAATGCCATCATATTACTCACCAGTTAATAATTTCCCTAGGAGGGGGAGTTTCTCCACCATGTCTGGGATTTATTTTTAAGCCCTTGGTGTGCCCACAGTTTCTCTTTTACTATTTCCACAGCTTTCAGAGATTTCAAATCCAAGCATTTTAGAACCCATCTACCTCCAACAGACATAGGCAATGTGTTGGAAATACTTAAGGACCGCTCACACTCATTGAAGAGTTCATTGGGAACGTGTTAAATTACATGTGGATTTCCTCATTATTTTAATAATGTGTTGTGTATGAAGTCCCTTGTAGGCCTGGAAGGGAGTGCACATCCACTGTGTTTACATTACCCCACGGTGGCTCCCATCCATTACCACTGCTATGTCAAGTCACTGTTCACACTTGGGGTTTTGGAAATGTAAGCGAGCGGGAACTTGTGAACCTACCAGGTAGCTATCTCTACACAGGGACCTGGAGAGAAATACATCACTAGACAAGCTGACTCTCCCCAACTGGTCAAACAGGCTCATGAAAATTAAAGGGAAAGATAAACTAAGATTGTATCTGTGTCTCCATCAGACCCAGCCACGTTCTCAGGTTACCCCAAAGGCAACCAAACCACTGAAGTTACCCATCGCTGCTGACTCCACAGGTCATGTTCTTCCCAGTGTTAGTGGACCTAAATACAAACATGGATGCAAGGAAATGGATCTGAATCACTCAAGCTGGAGAAAGCACGGCTTACCGTGGGAACAGAATCAATTACCCTGGCTTGGATTTTGAGCTAAAGGTGTGGTGAGTGGTCTGGGGCTTGGTTGAGAAGTGAGAGAACCTTCAGGAGCTGGGGAAAGGAGGCAGATCGCTGAGGCCATGCTGTTGAAAGCGATGTTGAGACCCTGGCCTCTTCCTAGCTCTTTTGTTTTGGCCAGCATGGATCAAACAGCCCATTCTGCCACAGACTTCATAATATACTCTTTCCCCAGGCACAAAGGAGCAAGGCAAGACTGGAGTCTCCCAAACTGTGAGCTAAATTAGATCCTTTCTCATTCTAGGTTGATGATCTTTAGGACTTTTATCGTAGCACCAGAAGGCTGGTCAACACATAAATATTGGCTTCTGTCATCATTTTCATCATTCTCTCCCTCATTTCTGAAAGAAAAGTCTTCTAAACGTAAGATAAATGGCTCTCGTATTCTATTAGACATAAAGACACAGAAAGTGGACAGTATAGTATTAGTGCAAAACCTTCTACAGGTCATGATGTGTATATTGTGTGATTTCTAAATACTCTATACCCACAGGTTATTGCCACTACCAGTTTTGCTGAAAAAAGAGGCTTCCTCTTCAGGGAATAGCAGTCACTACAGAGGGCCATCACTGGTGACTGTGATGAGGATACAGTCAAATCTCTGCTACAAACTGACATCGACCTCACATGCTACCCACTAAGGTTCTAGGGCTGTCTACAAGGAAGTGTCATAAAGAATTCAAGTCAGAGGAGTAGTGTGGAAGGCTGACTGCAGGAAAATATGAAGCACGAACAGCCCTGAACTCATTCATGACAGCTGCGATCACCTGCACAAGAGCTTTGGACCAGAAAATAACCTGTCATGGAGCACAAGGCGCTCACGAGGCCCTCCCCCTACTTCCTGAGGACTTAGACTCAGTTAATGGGTGGTGTGGGGGGACACTGGGTAAACAGCCCTCACTCCTCCTGTAAGCAGCCCTAATGTAACTCATCCAAGAAACAAGAGACATGAAAGTTCTAAAGGAATGAGTTGGGAAAGGGAAGGAAGTAAGTGGAACCAAGAATAAGAAAGAATAGGAGAGGGTAACTGAGAGCAAATATGTTCAAAATACATTGCATACATATATGAAAATTTCATAATGAAACCCATTATATAAAATTAATATTACCAGTTAAAAACAAGACAAAGTTAATAACTACGCACTGTAGCTAATAATGGGAAAAAATTCCACAGGAGAAAGAAAGTGCAGTTTCTGAGAAAAACGATTGAATGCATATATTAATGGAAGAGCAGAATTCCTCAGCTACTCATCACTGTGTGTCTGAGAGTCGTTGAGTTTGAATTTTGCAGGCCTGGTATTTGCTCTTTAATATGAGAACACAGGCAAAGGAAGATGACTCCATGGGTGTCTTTGTTTGCTTTCTGTTGCTGTGATAAAACAAGGGGAGGAGAAAGTTTATTCGGCGTACTCATCTCAATTACGGTCCATCATGAAGGGAGGTCAGCACAGACACTAAGGAAGGAGCCTGGAGGCAGGAACTGTTGCAGAGACCTGGAACGGATGTTTGTTTGCTTGATCCCCATTGGCTTGTTCAGCTTGCTTTCTTATGCAATTCAGAACCACCTGCCTGAGAGTGCTGTTGCCTGTTATGGGTTGGGCCCTCCCATGCCAATCATCGATGGAGAAAATGTCCTATACACTGACCTGCGTGCCAGTCTGATGGAGGGGTTTTCTCTATTGAGGTTCCCTCTTTCACACAGCTCTAGTGTGTGTCAAGTTGACAAAAAAAATTAACCACAACAATGGGTAAAGACAGTTGCCACTAAAACTGACAACACGAGTTCAAGGCCCAGAATCCATGTGACAGAATGAGAGAACTGATTTACACAAATAGTCCTCTGACTTCCACATGTACACGGTGGCAGACAAGCCTGTCTGTGGGTGCACACACAAAAATAAAATGTAATAATTTTTTTTAAGAAAGAATTCAACATGGTCCTGATTTCCTTTATAATATACTGATTCTAGCCATCTGTCCTGGGTTTTTACTCATAGTTCAAGATGCAGCCCATCATGATAAATGAGGGCAGGAAGAACTTGAAGCAGCTGGTCACATTACAGTTGGAATCAAAAGAAGAGAGCAATGAATCCATGATTGTAGTGTTCAGCTCCTTCTGTCAACAGTCAGGTTCCTCTGCCCAGAGAGTGGTCTCTCCCACCATTAAGATGGGTCTTCCCAGGCAGGCCCACGTAGACAATTATCACTCCAGCATTTTCTGACAATAATTTAGCTATCAGCTATATGATCAGTAGATAAGGATTTCTCTAAAATGTCCTTTTCCAAGTATCTTTAGGTTATTGATTCTTGGACTTCACATGTAATGTTCTGGTCACTTCATTATTTTTTATCTTTATGATTTTTTCAAGCTGTGTATCTCTTTCTTATAGCCAAAACATAGTTTATTAGGACAAATTAGGAGTCAGTTTCAGGTTGCCAGAGATTTAGTGTGTCATTGGCTGTAGAGAATTTCCTGATATCTAGATTACCTCAAAGAAATAGTGCTTGGCGATCAATCAATGGCTGCTTTGTCCACAGTTCACTGAAAAGAAGTCGACTTCATATAATTACTGTCCCTTGTGCCTTTTACTCCCTGTGCTCCAAACAATAGCAATTGCATTTATTGAGAATTTTTATACACTCTCCTTTTTAGTGAACACTACAGGACTTACCGAAACCCAGTGTAGGTCTCTTGTCCTTGGGAAACCTTGGATTGACTAGAAACAACAAGAAGCATAAGAGGAAGGTACACAGTCCCATGTAATAGGAACAGTGCTATCCCTTGGTAAACTGTAAGCAAAAGAACCTATCAGATTTCAGAGGCTAGAGATCTATGTTGAGCAGAGAAGCTAGGTTGGGGTTGCACTTACAGGGCTGGGGAAGAGTTTGCCAGTCTTCATTGTAGAGCAGAAGCAGCCTTCTGTCATAGGACCAACTACCTGAAAGCCTTTAGGAAAAAAAACCAAACCCACAAGTGGCCTCCTTGTCTAATGAAGACCATCCTGCGAATTCTTGCATGTTTTCAAAGGAGGCGACTATAAAGGAGGCGGCCCTGTGAGAGCTTTCGTGTGCTCCCCGTTTTTCTTGAGTAGAAGCTAATGATCAATCACCTATCCCTGGGGAACATGTCTGAGTTATCCTGTCAGAGAAGATGAACATTTGCTGCTGTCTTCAACCCTGCCACAAAGGAGAGGGGAACAGCTCTTAGCCAAAAGGGAGCAGGTCTGGCCAGACTCTTGACTTTACTGGGCTTTAGAAGCTATCATACCTGCTCCCGGTGGGGAACATGCTCCGTCTGATACAGCAGCTCTGAGCCATTCCCAGTGCATGCTCCGTCTGATACAGCAGCTCTGAGCCATTCCCAGTGCAAGCACCTGCCTCACATAATGATCAAGTCTGCTCTGCTTTCACAAATTAGCTTTTACTATAAGGGGATTAGAGTAATGGACCCAGGGTGAATTCAGATCAGGCTGACCCCAGCAGCACCATCTTAGATGTAAGCCTATATCAACCTTGTGACAGGACAAGTCCTATGTGTACTTCCCTGGTCACAGACACCATGGTCATGTTACTGCTCCTTATTGACGATGTTTTGTTATTTCAAAGCATGACCTGTACATCACACATTCATGGAAAAATTTTATCTGCAGTGACAGAGGGACAAACTATGTCTGTATGAAAACTCTGAAAGAGGAGCCTGGATTACAGCCTTGTGGCTGAGCAGCAGCCTTCCTATTCCTTACTGACAGGTTTTCCTTGTACAACCACTGTGCGCTGAACACCTATGACCTGCATAGGACCACTCTAGGAACCACCCACACAAAGAGGAGTAGCCATCATCTCTGAGTTCAGTGTCTGGGGAGACAGAGACAGGGGCATTCACAATCAGAAGGAGCAGGATAATAACCAAAGTGCCTTTTATCTCAGAAGAGGGGGCAATGAACTCAGCATGGGGGTGCGAAGGTCAAGACGTTTGAGTTGTGTCATCAGGGATAATTTGGCGTTCAGGTGGAGAAGAGGAGGAGGTCCTGGAGTATATGAGGAATTGCAAATGGTCCCCTATGGACAGAGGGTGTGGTCGAGGTCATCTAGCTTCCAGCTTGACTTTTAAGTGATAGAAATACAGCTGCCAGCTTGGCTGTGGGCACAGTCTCAATGAGATCTCAGATGTACCATTAAACTCTGAGGTAGATGGAGGGACTTTGGTGAGTTGTCATCGGAAGACTAGCATGATGAATGAGGTCTTTGTTTCAGATACAGTACCCCTGTGGTAAGTGATTAGGAAGAATTGAGGCCGGAAGAGGGTTAGAGGGGTATTAGGCTACTGTTAGCAGATCTGGCTAGTGAATAGAGAGAAAGTCTCCTGGTTTAAAGGGCCAGTGACTTGGCAGAGGAAAGCTTTCGAAGTTAATTCTTGCTCAGATGTGATTCTTCATCACCCAGTCACACAAGGGTTTGCTCATCAGATCTTATCGGGAAATTATCAGAAAATAGTGGAAATGTAAAAGCAGACTTAGTGCTCTCCTCTCGACATTAGGGTTTCATGGGAGTGGATGGTAATTAAATCAGTAATTATTACTAGATTTAATTTACCTGGACACAAGTTAAATATAACTCTTAAAATTCCACACATAATGGCAGTCTAAAATAGTACCCTTTAAATTTCCTGTGAGCCACGTGATCTTAATCCTTCTCCTGTTTTTACCGTGAAAGCACTCCTTTCGGGGCATAGCACATTTCTGGTTGAACAGAGGAACTCCTAAAGACACAAGTACATAAAGGAAATGTCATCTCCTCTGAGTTGCTTGCCTCTTGGACCTCCAGGACTTGTAGAACTCCATCTTTGTGCCTTAGCTCATAAAGGGAAACAGCTACAGTAATGGGAAGGGTTTGGATCCTGTTAGTAGCAGGGAGGTTAGGCCAGTTCACTAGCCTCTCAGGGTCCCAGTTTCCTTATCTTAAAAATAAGGGTGATGAAATACACCTGGTCAGGATAAAATATGGGCTTAACGGATGTGTGAGTGAGGATTAAATAACTGTATTTCCACCGCAGGCTTTAAGGAACACAGAGACAAATGTTATGGTTCTGCTGGGTCCATGACACTTTGTTGCCTAAAAAGAATGAGAAACAGGTCAAAGCCAATCCACGATCATGACGCTTTTCTATGTATGTGTGTGTGTGTGTATGTATTTATTTATTTTTAATATCATTTATTTATTTGCCTGCATGTGTGTCTGTGCAAAGTGTGTGCATTGCCTATAGACCCTCTTCTGGTCTGATAAATTCCATGTGGGCTCTGGTTCCCTGCCACGGCAGTAAGTGCTTTTAACCACAGAATCCGTCACTCAAAGGCTCATATTTAAGGTTTTAAAGTTTCCTATCTATTGTCTTTAAACAATAGCACTTAGGGCTTCTACTAACGCAGATCATGTACGTTAAAGTTTCGGTTTATAGGTCAATATTCTTGAGACACTGTAGACCCTTTGAAGGTTGGGGCCTAATGGGCTATCCTTGGGTCTTTGGAGGATCCTGAGACCACAGCCACACCCCTTCCTTTTCTTCTTTTGATTGTTGGCCATGAGAAGAGTGGCTTCTCTTGGCCACATACTCCTGCTATGTAGTGTGCCACCTTCACCACAGGCCCAAGCAATGCATGAGGTGACCCGAGACTGAACCTCCAAGCCTGATAGTCATGTAAATCTTTTCTATTCATACGTGGATTGTCTCAGTTTTTTTATGTCATAGAAACCTGACAAACACAGAATGAAGAAGTCCTGTCCTGATCTCTCTATAATCTCTGGCCATCCCTCTCTCCGCACTGCTTGCCTTCACAACTTGGCCTCCCCACCATCCCAGAACCCACTCTACCTTGACTGACAGTAAAGATTACACTGTTTTAATCTAGGTTAGAATTTGCTAATGTAGCCACCATTCACGGCTTGGAATAGAAGAAAGGCCAGGATTGTATGGAGATAGCTGTGCTCCGACCACTGGCAATCTGTTCTCATGATCACATATTTAGTCTCTATCTGTAGCAAGCCAACATCTGTGTATCATAAGCAGAGGGGGTAATTACAGTAGAGAATCATAGTTAAGCATTTAAACACCAACAGTCTACATCTTGATCAACATGGAGTTCCCGTTCACAGTCTCAGGCACTTTGGGCTACCACCGTGTTTGGAAAATCTAAGCAGCAATGCTGTGATACAGTATATAGTGTGTGGTAACTGTTGAATTTTTTTTACACTTTGTCCCTTGCAAAACTTCCTGGTTCAGTGATGACTTGGTGCCTAGAAGTATGAATGACAACATCACACCTGGTTATGACATCTGCTGCCTCCAGGGCCCAAGCATGCCCCCAGGTGCTTGGCTTGCTTCTCAGTGCTAAAATGGGGCAATCCAGCTTGATTTTAAGTGGAGTAACTCAGTATTCTCCACTCCACTGGGCTCCTAGAAACCTCAGAGAATTGATTTCTATTCTCTGCCATGAAAGAAGATGTCCAAGGTATGAAGTTGGTCCTTCAGCCTGGGTCCAGGTATAAGGAGACTTACTCAGAGCTGACCTGAGCGGCGGAACACCTGCAAGAAAGACATGGTAAGTGTGGGTTTGAGTTTTTTATGCTTGCAGAAACAAGCAAGCCTGGCACACTTCTACCTTTATCTCAGCCAAATAATGTAACCTCTGACCTCATCTGTGTCTCATTCCCTTCATTGTTACTGCTTCACTGGCAAATTAAAGTGTCTTTTCCCCCTCTTCTACACTCAAGACCAGTCACCAAGTCAGAAGTTAGCACTTTCTTAAAGACTAAGTTTAGCACCAAAATCACACCAGTTCTGTCTAGTTTCTAGTCCATCCCCTCCATCCTTGTATTTTATGACTTCTTGTCCTTGCCTGTCGTAGTCATGCGCTTATTTCCCCAATATCTA